ATGTATGTATGTATGTATGTATGTATGTATGTATGTATGTATGTATGCATGCATGCATGCATGTATGTATGTATGTATGTATGTATGTATCTAAGTACATTTGCGGTAATTATGAAGATATAAATATTCAATGTGGTTATCACTGCCGATTTTCAAATAGAATACATATGTACATTAGACTGCATCACCAAAAAAAGTTGCGGTTTTTCCGCCGGGATTACAAAATTTATTACATTTTAAGATGTTCACCAAAATATTTGGGAAAAATATTATGATTTAAGTGAGCTGGACCGATTTGAAAATACCTCCAAATATTGAGTTTTTTTATGAATAAAAATAGTTTCGTAAAGAACTTTTTGAAAAAAGTCCCTTTTGATGACAAAACAGACTAAACTTAAAAAATCTGCATAAAAATATTTAAAAATCTTTTCAACGGAATCGTAAGAATGAGATTTTTGATGCTGTTTTTTTTACTTTTTTCAAAGATTGATTGACGAAAATTTTGAATAACTGGGCCAAAACTATTCTGATTTAGACTTATGGGATCTCAGTAGAAAGGTATTTTCACACTGTTTTTATTTCTGTCCAAAAAAAAAAAATCATTCGTTTCCCATTTTTTTTTTTTTTCCAAATACCAACACATCTTAATTCAACTTTGAATGACGTTCGTTTATCCTACCTTTCTCTGTCATCCTTTGAATGAGTTTATTATCAAAGAAATAAAAAGGGTGAGAAAATACCTTTCCACCCACACCTCTTAAGTCTAAATCAGAAGAGTTTAGGCTCAGTTATTCAAGTTTTTCTTATACCAATCTTTGAAGAAAGTTAATAAACAACATTAAAAATCTCATCATTACGATTCCGTAAAATTTTTTTTTTTTTAATATTTTTATGCAAATTTTTTAAGCTTAAACCGTTTTGTCATTTGAGGGGAATTTTTTCAAAAAAAAAAAAAATTAAGAAACTATTTCTATTCATAAAAAACTCCATTTTTGGAGGTATTTTGAAATTGGTCCAGCTCACTTAAATCGTAATATTTTTTCGAAATATTGTGGTGGACGTCTTAAAATATAATAGATTTTATAATTCCAATGGAAAAATAGTACAGATTTTTTTTTTTTTGTATGGGGAGTGATGCAGTCTAATGTACCTACTTTATTTTTATATGCAAATCATGCTGCATATAATTTCATGCATATTTATGTACATATGTATATCGTGGCACGCACATACACATTTTCATATGTATGTAAATACGTCATATTTTAGAGAAATACGAAATTCATGTAATCTCCCTTTTTTCCGAAATGGCACAGCATTGAGATAAAAAGCTTTTAGTCTATTGGAAAAATGGTTCTTTAAAAAATCGTTCAGTTAACCTCAATGTATTCAATAGTGAAGACGTTTCTGTTTTATAAGATTTTGAAAGTAAATTTACATACATACACATGTACATACATACTAAGCAGTGGTGTGAATTTAAAGTAAAAAAAAAAAATATAAAAAAGTTGTAGTTATTATTTATAAAATTGCGTGCTAAAAGCTCTTTATCTTTACAACAAAGAAATGTCGCGAATCAAATGCAAAAGGTTTGTTCTGTTGATTTTTTTGCGGTGGGCGTTACCCAACAGACGCTTTCATTACAAACAAAAATGCTACTATTTAGTGTTGCAGTTTTGTTCAGCAATGCAATATAGGCTGTTAAAAGTACATAAAAATTTTATTTAAATTTATATTTGGCAAATTTATATTCGCAATAAATCATCATCCAAATTTAGAAAGCTAGCGCTACGTTCACAATTTAGAATTGAAAAAAAAACTCCGATTTATTGTTTTCGAATTAACGAAAATTATCTAAAAATAACAATACTAATTAATCGTATAAAGAGATAAAAGAAATTTCTTTATAGTTTAGATAGCACAAAAAAGGTACGCCTAGATATAAATAAATTTCTGGCGGAAGAGAGGGGGTGGAAGGAATGCCGCCTAGATATACTACATACATACATACATGGCTAAAAAAATGCAATAAATAAAAAACATTAATTTGGGAGCGGTTGGGATGTGATCATCGCTGTGAAATTAGACAACAAAAAGTTTGTCAACAATTTCCGCGATTCGAACAAATAGTTTTATTTAGGTGATTAGAACAAAAATTAATTGAATAAAAGAGCACAGGAACAATAATAAATTTAAGTATTGTTGGGCGAATTTTTCATTAAATGTTTTTCGGTCTGACTTTAAAATGTGTGAATTGTTTGTAATGAATTTATCGCCTTTTAAGCAAATAATGAGAATATGGTAATTAGAGCAATAAATGCCAAATGACTATAATTAATTTAATCGTACTAAAAATATAAATATTTTGTGTATGAAATATCAAACAAAACACCTCTTTGAGGTAAAATTTTCGAGTAACGAAAGCTGAACTAGAAACACAAAATTTATGATATCAATTTCGTGACGAAAATGATATGCATTTTTTAACTGCCTTGGAAACGTATGGAAAATCTTTTTTATTCATACGAATCGTTTATGACTCTGCAAGACCTTTCCAACGCCTGGATAAAAACTTCTAAATCTCGTGTGTATATAAGCGAGTCATGAAAAAAATCGCAACTGAACTTCAGTTTTTATAAAGTTTTATGACTACATACTCTGCAAAGAAACAAAAATGTAAGACAGGGCCTTTCTTTAGTAAGGTGGCGACGATGTGCATGTGTACTCATTTGAAGACTCGATAAAAAGTGAAAGTCTGAACTCAATGCCATTATATCCTCCATCAATTCACTTAAGTTTCAGCCAACGAAATATGAGGCAAAGATTAGGGAAAACAGACATGTTGTCAGGTAATCTCACGAGGATACCTGAGGAATTTTGTGTAGTAGAATTCTCTGAATTTTTATTATTTTTAATAAAAAACGCGCACTAGCACTGTATATATATATATGCATGTCTGTACATATGTACATTAGGATGCCTCACCAAAAAAAAAGTCTGGCCTTCGGATGGGATTTTTTGTCCGGGTTCATTAGATCTGCACCGTTCGTTGATGAGGTGTCAAACTAAAGGACTTGGCCTGTAGATTTGCAATAAGATTTTGCTTTTTCGAAAAGTGCTGCCCCCTTTCAAAAAATTTAATTAAAGTTATTAAAAAGACATCAACTCTTTCAATTTGAATTAAGGTAATTGAAATGTGTATCATCGTATGGTTGCCAGACGAAACATGTTTAAGGAGGAGTTGAAAATATTTTGAAGAGGGTTGCCACCTGTTTTAAGAGTCGAATTTAGTTAACTTCTACACAACCTATGTCAAATATTAAAATATGGGTATCAAACACAAGTGTTAGGAAATCTTTAGTTTGAACATATAGAATTTTATTTGGGTTTTAAAGAGGGTTGCCACCTGTTGAAAAAGTTTAATTACAATTGTTTAATAAGTTTAACGAATTTCAAAAAGTTGGGTGTCTAGCTTAATGTGTTTTAAAAGGATTTATTTGTGAGCTGTATTTAGAAGAGTTGACACGTGTTTCAAAAATCAAATTCAACATAATTCGTCAGTTAATTGATGTATATGTTTGTATCACAATGTCAGACGAAAGAGATTTACCAAGATATGAGTTTGATTATACTTTTAAAGATGGTTGCCACCTGTTTAAAAAGTCGAATTTATTCAACTTATACACAAGTTAAATAAAATATTAAAATATGAATCAAACGCAAGAGTTTTAAGAAAACTTTAGTTCGAAAATATTTTTGATGAGGGTCGCCATCTATTCGAAAAGTAATGTATATATATATGTATATACATAAATATGTGAAGCTCATCAGATCTGCACCGTTATTTCGAATTTCAAAAATGAGAGGTCAAATTAAATAACGGGACCTGTAGATGTGTAAAAAGGTACTTTTTTGATGTTAGAACTTTCTTTTTAAGCGGTGTAGGGTGATATGGTATTTGATAAAATGAAATTCCAACACTATGCGAGACCTCCCTTTACCTAGAAACGGCTAGACGGATTTGGATGAAGTGTTTGGAGTATTTTTTTAGTTTCACGTATTTAAAAAGTAAAATTCAATTTTGGCGTTTTAGCGCCATCCGGTTTCACTAGTAAAATTTATTATACTATGGATGTCTTAAGACTTCCCTTAAAATATTTCGGAAAAATTTTAAGACTTCCGTGAGCTGGACCGAATTGATAATACAAGTACCTCCAAAAATCTCATTATTTTGGTTCGGTTCATAAAAGTTGTAAACATTTTTATTCAGACCTTTTAAGCACTTGTATTATGTAGAAAGTTTTTTGTAAAAAATATTTTAAAGAATTCATGTATTACATAAAAACTGGTTTTGTTTCTTTTCAACAGTTTCAAACTACACCTGCTAGTGCTTTCATTAACGCTAGCGAGCTTTTCCTTTGCCACCGAGCTTTCTACTACTTTAAACATCTTCGCGCCAGCGACCATCAATGCCACGGAAATCATCGACACTCTCCGAGAAAATAATACATTGAGAAGCCTAAAAAGTGAGAATTCTAATGAAAATATCGATGGAGATTATGACGACGAGAATGAGGACTATGATGACGATGATAATGAGAACAATACGCCAGGTGAAAGAACAAAACATTCGCGTCAAAAACATATAGCCATAATAAAGCGCGTGGGCACAACTTATGTCTGGGGTCGCTGGGAAAAATGGACAAAGTGCAGCAATTCCTGTGTGCAAATTCGGCAGAGGAAATGTATTGAGCGGTAAGTGGATCATAAAATGTCTGCAATAAAAGCCTAATTTAACGATTCGATCTCGTGTTTCCCACTTTTTCTTGGCATAAATTGGTACTGAATTTACAGATTTTTCAGATCTCCTCGAATGAATTCGTCTTTGATTTCCAGCACCGTATTTTCTGTGAGTTTTTGTTAGGTTTCAACCTTTTCATCTTGCGAGTCAAAGGGCTTGAAGACTTACTGCCGGTTTTACCAGAAATTTAAGTGAAAATGATTTTTTCCCTTCTGCAAGTTTTCATAAGAGAACAGATCACTTTACGCTTAAAATAATAGTAAATCTGTCATTTAGTATGGACGTTTAGTATGGGAAATTAATCCATTAAAAGCGTAGGCGAAGAAATGCCTGCTGTAGCGTAGGGCTTGCCCGCATGCTGGTTATCCATCCAGCAGGGAAAAGTAGCTTTGTGAGTCACTACAATACCGACGAGGATTGAGATGAAAGACATCAACGAGGGGAGTTAATTTACCTCTAACTACAGATAAATTTAAATATATACAAAAATAGAGTAGGCACTGCGACCAATAGGTCTACGTTACCATAACAGTTGGGTCTTTGAAACCTGAACGACCCAGACAGGACTGTCACTCCTTTCCCTTCTCCCTGAATTGGCTGTGCACTCCTGGAGGAGGTGCGATGATGTCTATTTGGCGGAGTCACCAAAGTGATATTGGCCAGGGTTCAGGACCTATCGCTGGCAAGGCAGCAGCCATTCTGACTAACTGATCGGCTTCCTCACTTCCTTCGACTCCCTGCCTTATGCCCTGGTACACATATTAGTTGGATAGCATTGACCCCAGCAAGGGAATTCAGCTTCTCTATGCACTTCAACACCAATGAGAATTTGACCTCCAATGCTACCTGTCTATAACATAAAATAACGATCCCCTCACTACGATAACTCCTACGAAATTTAGTATCTGCGCACAGACTAATGGCATAAACCTCTAACCAAAACATTGCCCTTTAGCGATTTGATTTTACACAATCAACTTAAACTTTTACGTCGGTTTAATTTGGGTCCTCTATTCATTTATCTGCCTTGTGACTCATTGGAGTGATAGATTGTCTCGAAACAGAACTTTGTCAGGATATTTATACACCATAGAGATGCCCAAAAACGAACTGCTTCGGTGGTAGCCTGACTAAGGCAGCAGGTTATGCTCTGCTGACCGAAGGTGACAGCCAGTTTACCTATGAGCGCACCGCGTCCAAATACATCTATAGGGTTTGTACCGCTGCCAGTTTCTGACCACTTTGGTAACCAGCGACCGGTCGATGGATCGTCCCCGTGGTAACAACGGATTCCTTCTCCATTTAGAACTTTGGCTTTGCACTTATTCTATTAGAAATACGCTTTGTGAGCGCGGATTTGAAGAAAATCAAATGTCTGAAATAGTTTGCGTACATCTTGGAGTTTCGATTAAGTTTCGTTATTAAACGTAAGCACCGCACGGTACTTCTGTCAAAGTCAGGTTTGAAAGAGATTTAATAGTGGGCTCATGCTTTTCCAGCCACTTCAGCAGTAGTGTTAGGTCTCTAGAATTCAAAGTAAGTTCAAGTACATATCGACTGCTGAGTGGAAGATCGACCGAAATAGGGCGTTCTTCAACCAAATTCTGAAATAGGGCATTCTTGGAAAGTTTTTGAGATAGGACGTTTTCGAATTGCCTGCCGGGATAGGCCGATCTTCCACTCAGCAGTCGATATATAGCAGTATATGGAAGTAAACTTGATCACTAGACGTCTTATTCGTGCTTCTACTGTTCTCATTCGGTTAAAACTCTCTTACCCTAGACCTCCCCTACTTGGCTCTATTCTCAATGCTATGAGTAATTGTCTTCCTTTTTACTGACACTGTTTTTTCTTCAATCCTTAGGAAGCTCACTTCCCTCGATGCTGCTCCAATTGATCGTGAATTCTATCCAGAGACAAATAGTCGCTTTGGCTGTTTTGGGATTATAAAACGTTATCGCCACTGCAAGGATGAGAAGTGCAAAGCCAACAAAAAGCGACAGCGTGATGAGCAATGTGCAACCTTCAATAGGATACCGTACAAGGAAAAATTCTACAATTGGCTTGGCTTCGAGAAGGAACATAATGAGTGTGAACTCTTTTGTCGTCCCAGCGGTTCGGGCATCTTTGTGAGCATGAATCAATCGGTGACTGATGGCACAACGTGTGGCCGACCGGCGGTATATTATACGCACTACTATCGGCGGCGTGCAGTGTGTGTAGAGGGTATTTGTCGGGTGAGTAAATGGAAGTGATAGAAAAAAAATCTAATTTCATAAGGTTAACAGTATCTAATGAAAGCAGAAAGTTCAAATTCTTTAAGTTTCAGCTTAAGCTTAAGTTTTTTAGTATTGGTTTTTGTATTCCAAGAAAATTCCCATACAATTTTTTTTAATGAGCTATAATTCTATAAATTTTTACTTCATTATTATTTCTACTTTCTAATTCCATTGATAATTGAACTTTTCCACCAGCTGACCTTCACGGCTTCTATTCCATGCTTGATGAGTTTTCTTGATAAGAACAAAATCACATAGATTATTTTGTAATCAATACCTTAATGATTATTACACATGAAAATCTAGGCATTTATCAGCTAATACTCATATAATAGAAATCGTGCTCCATTGTTACATAAGTCACATTGGTCAAACGGCTCAGCTTTGATCGCTTTGATGATCGCTCAATTCTTCTACGTTTCAAGATTAAAGTGTAAAAGTTGCAAGAAAAAATTACACACTTGATTAAATTTGATTGAATTGCTGCTCAGCTGGTTGAGTTGTACAACTGCGGTGTGTAACGCTTTGCGCGCAATATGCGCGAGTGCATCATCACCGTCGTCGTCATCACTACGGCAGAGAGAGAGTCTCAAACGACATAGGCCGGCGTTCCCATTGCCTTTTGACGGCTTTGACCGTTGCGCATCGTCGTCACAAAGTTATCACGATCCGCTTAGCTCATTTGCGCAACGATTATCTCTAATTTGTTAAAATGTACATTACCGTGTTCGCTGTGTGGACATGATAGTTCTGATAAGCAATTGGCCGTTGGCGTATGTATGCAGTTTTGGTCACGGCGTGGAAGCTACGGCTGCTGGCCATTCTTATGGCTACAAAACTGTCCAAGCCGCCGTTGAGTCTAAAAAGCGTTTAAGAGTTTTTTATTTTTTATAATTTTTTTTTTTGTGGTGGCACTTTGTCCAGTTGGCAGCTAGCAGCATTGCCGCTCGTTTGTTTGATGATGACGCTGATCTTGTGCCTTAACCGCCAACTGGCAGCTATGTAAAGCATTTAACAAGATCGCCTACGGTAATTTCTTTTTTCTTTGGGAACTGTAACACTGTTGAGAATACTACTTTTTTTTTCTAGAACGCCCTTTTAGTATAAATTACTGTTCATAAGTATTTAGATTTTTGACCTCTTGATCTCATTGGCGCGTGCGAACGAGGCGTTTGTGGTGTGAAGCTAACGTTGGCGTGAGATGAGGAGGAATAGTTGGTTACATGCATAAAAAGTGAATTTTAACTTAGACTTAAGGTTTGTATAAAGGCACTATAGGTGATTTGATAAGTTTTTTTTGGCAAAAACTATGTACACTAGGGTGGTCCAAAAAGTAAAGTGGGAATTTTAATGCTCTCACACCCTAGGATTGTTCTATATCGAAACAAAATATAAAACCCTTAAGTTTTATTTTGGAATCAAAAAATATTTAGAGGTCGCTTAAAACGGGAAGAAAACAACTTTTCGTAGAAATGGTAGAAAATTCTTGAAAATCAATATTCTTCGATCGAAAAACTCAGGTTCTCGTCAGGAGACTTTCCACAGTAATACCCAATTGGTTATTTAACCAATTTTTAATACTAGCAATTTTAATTGGTCCCCTCATTTGCATTTTTCGGGGTTTTGGCGGACTTATAAATTATAGTTATTATGAAAATATGGTTAAATAAATAGTTGGGTATTATTATTGGGCATCCGCTGAAGAGAAACAGATTTATCCGATCGAAAAATATTAATTTGCACGAATTCTTTACCATTTCTACGAAAAAGAGGTTTTTCCCCATATAAAATACATGGAAAATTGAGCGTTTTGAGCGACCTCTAAATATTTTTCGATTTCAAAATAAAAAATAAGGGTATAACTTTTTTCGATATAGAACAATCCTAGGGTGTGAGAGCAGTAAAATTCCGACTTTACTTTTTCCCACATGTATTTTTGGACTACCCTCATTTACATACTTACAAAAATAAACTTTTTGTACTTGATATTTTATAAAGGAAAAAATCAAATTAAATAACGGTGTCTTTTGTTTTTGGAAAAAAAACGAACAATAACTGCTAAGCAAAGGGTAAAATTTTGTTGTCTGCGAGTTTTTTTTTAGCTATTTTTCAACAACCATATGCACCTAAAAAATTAACAAAAATGTAGAATTTAAAGAAAATAGTAAGTACTTTTTTGATTTTTTTTTTTGGGAGAAAAATATATGCATTTGACTTAATATTTAATATCTATTTTTTTTTTTTAATTCAAAACTTTTAAAATGCTGTTTGCATTTGGCCAGTACTTAGACTGTCAAAAACGTGTAAAATTAATAGTTTGGAGTTATTTTCCTCAATTTCATGTTGCAATTTTTGAGAAAATTTTTTGTAGGTATTCTTAATACTTTCAGTACCAGTTGGTTGGGAGAACCCAATAAAGGAAGGAAATAAAAGGTTATTTAGAATTTTGTTGGTACAAAGGCTGCTTCTTTTAACTTTTAAGCAGACTAATTAGGAAATCCAGACCTTTCAGGTTTTCAATTGAAATTAATGAAAAACTTATTGTGGTAAAAATAGCCTCGAGCTCAATACAAATTATTGAATATAATTGTTATAAGGCCATAAAATAACAAAAAACAAATGAAAATAATATAATTTAGCGATAGTTTTCAAAAATAGCCGCTCTATAAACAGTTTTTATAACTATGTGGACTTTTTTTCTTTAATACAAATACTTATAAATCTTTAAATCTCTGTTTTTGAAGGTCGAAAATACAGTTTTATTTTAGGAAAGTTATAGGTTTTGAAAAAAATCTGGCAACACTGCGGGTGAATCAGGATACTTGCAACTTCACCTCTGGCCCGACGAAGCGCGACAACAGAGTCGAAATCTCTTTCGGTCACCGCGCTTCGTCCGATTTGGAGCGATGCGCGAGCTATTTTAGCCGACAATTCACGCTGCATCCTCTGGCGGACAAAGCGAAACGGAGAGTGACCTGAAGGGTGCACAAACAGCCAACAACAGCCAACAGAGGAGAACCTATCGTTCGATCACCCTCCTTTCCCCGGTAGCGAATACACTATACATTGCTACTCGCATATTATACGAACTACCTGACCCCAGCGAAACATCAGCATGATTTCCGTAAAGTGAAAATAAAACAGGGGGTGTCCTTTCCCCATTAGTGTTCAACTTCTATATTTGTAAGCCCCCTAAACCACTAGAGGGAGTCTCGATTGTCTCTTACGCTGATGATTGCTCGATAATTCCGTCTGGGAATGGAATTGATGACCTGTGTTCGAAAGTAAACGGTTACCTCTCCGAGCTTTCTCGCTTCTTTACTGCCTAGATGCCTAATCCCCTACCCAACAAAATCCTCAGCTACCCATTTCAGCACCTGAACGAAGGAGGTCAGACTGCAGCTGGGTATTCACGTCGATGACGTACCAATTCCGACGGTGAATAACCCGAGAATCCGCGGAGTAACGAGGCACAAATGCTCCCCATAAAGGAGCACAACACAATGCTCTGCTAGAAATTCTTAGTAGAGAGCCTCAGACGTGGACACCCGAACAGACACTTGCCTACAGATGAGCCCTCGCCAAGGCACGTCAGAACTCATCTATACGAACTGACGGGCGGTTCATAAAGCAACCTTTGGACCCAACAGCATATCGACAGGCCTTGTGCGGCATTCATAGGGAGCCGGTCTCAAGTTGCGTAGACTTCAGACCTGTGAATGCCGTTCTGCGCACACAAACACCTGACGTGGACGACGCGGAGCTGCGTCTGCCTCGGGAGACTCGGACCACAATAGCCCAACTTTGCTCTGGCTACTGCAGCAGGTTGAACTCGTATCTGAGAAGACTAGATGCGGATGTGCCTAATGAGTTCCCGGCATGCAGAGAGGCATCCCTCGACTCGAAATATTTCTTAGCATGCCCACAAAACCCACTCAAGTGACGTCTCTGCCCCTGTGGACAGACCCTATAAAAGCTGCACGCTTCTTGGGTCTCTCGTCGGTCCCGGGGTTGTTGTAGCCGCTACAACAACAACAACAACAACTACGTAAAATCAGCTGTTAATGGTTACGATACCTATAACCGATGTTTGTTAATGTGGTTAACCTTAATGGCAGTGGTTATGGCTATGGCGTTAAGGTATGTATGCCACCACTAATTTAACCTTAAAGCCGTTCAGTTGGCCCTTTGGAAGTTTTCAACTAAAAATATAGGCATATATGTAAGATATGTAATTGCAAATAAACTTCCGTCCCAAGAAAGAAAAAAAGAAATCAAACGAAACTTTTGTCTTTTACCATTCGATATCGAATGCTTGTATGCGCACCTGTGTTACACTTGCATACATACATAGGCGCCCTCTTTTTTGCTAAAATAAAGTTTTTGCTTTTTAAAACGCCACCTCACTTGCTTGCTTTTATTGCCACTAATTTCTAGGCTGCATTTAGATAATATGCCTATTGTGTTGTTTGCTATTGTTGTTGCTTATGAAGATGGCATCAGGGCATCTGTGCGCTTGCTATTCCGCCTTTTATCATTTTTTATGTCTTTTCAATATTTCATTCATTATTGTTGGCTTTTCACGCACTTGACCTCATCCACCCTCGCTATACCCCTTTCTATGCCCGATTGGTGGTACTTCAAGTTCAATTGACGCTTTTTCTCATTAGTTTTTCTTTATGGATTTTTTCTCTCGTATGAACGTCTTTCTTTGGGCTGGTTGTGAGTGTTACTTTCCGATTTTTCACTCGTGTATATTGGCCGCCAATAAATGTATTACTACTTGGCCATTGTGTGTTGTAGTACAGAGATCTGCGAGTGTCTTTGTTATTGTTAGTTGTTAGTTAGCCTCAGCTATGGGATGCTGCATTGGTCTGCCGGCGTGCGATTGTTGGGGTTTCATGAAGATTTTTCAGCTGTCTTTCCGTTTTTGCTATTACTCGCAGTATTGTTGTTGT